TTTTTTTTAATTTTTGCTTCACTTGACTCTTATGGAGAGATGTGGTGACTTATTTGATTATGCGTATTGGTTGGGTTGCTATGCAGGCATAAAATTGTGCGGTTGCTTTAATTGATTAAGCTTACTAATCCGTTTCTTTATGTTAAGTTTAAATAGAAGAATATTTTGTTATCGTCAGCGTTGAATTCATTTAATACCTTTGGAGCTAATACTAATACTCGTTCCAAAAATATTGGAAATAACTGTCTTGCATCACTCGACAAGTTTATTTTTCTAACCATTCAACCAAATAGTAGGCTTGTTTACACAATACATAGAAGTGGCCATTCAACGGGCCGAAGCCCGATCGGGCCCGCTGGGCCATGGGCCCTCCAACTCATGGCCCGCGACCGGCCTGCTAAGAACCAAGGGCCGGTTACGTTGGTTCACCAGTTCGGCGGTTCAAAGGCCGGTACGAACCTTAAAAAAAAGAGAGAATTTGGCCCTGCCTGGCCCGGTCCTGGCGGGACGAAAATAAAAAAATGAAACCGCGGCCCTACGGTTTCGGTTCAACGAACCGGCCCTTAAGAGGCCAGTTCAGGGCCGGGCCGGTGCCGGTTCGCGGGCCGATTTGGCCCCTGGACATGTCTACACATACACATAACATTAGTTTTCTATTTGTATATATACGAGCAATATAATTTATTTGCAGCATAATGATTTTTAGGCCAATTAAGTGTGACTAGTGCATAATAAATTGAAGTGTACTAATAAATAAAAGAATTATAATACGTAGGGAAATTTCCAATCAAATGTTCATCAGGAAAAAAATTAAAAATAATTACCTCTTGGGTCGACTAATCTTTTAAAACTGCCTATTTAACGAGATAAAAAGAATTTTCGCACATCAAACTTTCTTAGGTCACAGTTACGAGATTATCAAAAGTTTAATTCCACTTTTCTGCAACTAATTAATTACTATTAATTATCATTAATAAAACTGTAAGATTCATCGAGATTCTGAATCGGCTCTTCTCAAACCCTCAACCTTCACACACGCATATCTAAAAATTGCAGAATAATTGATGATGACCTTTTTCTCATCTTCTCTAATTTGTTCAAAGCAAATCTCGATCTAGATGGCAAAAGTTAAGGATGAGAATTATGTCTCCGATTCTTCATCTGAAGGCGAAGGTAGTTTGGAGCAAAACAATCGGAAAGTTGAAGTTCAGCGTCGTCGAAGGCTTGTTTAAAAGAAAATTCAGTTTGGCAAGAAGAATCAACAGACCAAAGGCATTGTTTTAAAGGAGAGAAAGTCGTTTGTGGGAGAACACTCGCATGTCAGATGCCCGATAACTCGTTCCAGTGCTCAGAAGAAGCGATTTTCTCAGAAGACGGCTATGGAGCTAAACGGAGATGCTAAGGGGAAGAAGAAGGTTAAATATCCAGAGGACATCGATTCTGATTTTGAAGTGAACAATGTATTCCTGTTGATGAAGAAAAAAGTGTGGATGGCTCTGAGGCTAACAAATCAGTTCGGAGGAGGTCCAAGGGCAACACACATAGGCATAAGTCGATTTGTTCCGAGCTTGACGATGAAGATCTCAGTAATAAACACCAAAGAGAACACAAGGTATTTTTTCCTAATATCTGTATAAACTAGTTAGATATGTCCTATATGTTTTACTGTTATTGTTGGTATCAATTGTTTGTTGTTTTCATTAGGATTGGGAATTGATTGTTCCAAACTCAAGAGCATTGACCGTGAAGATAATCAACAACAATGATAACAGTCGTTCTACCACACCTATTGCTGACATTAATCGTTTGTTGTCCAATGATCAATTGGAGGTGTTTAGGAATTCTGCTTTTGGTAAATTTATCGACCTACCTCATTATAAGGTTCAGAATCAACTTGTCAATTTGATTTCATTACGAGAAGTACACCAACCGAGGTTGGATGAAATGTGGTTTGACTTTTAGATCATGAGATTTGGGGTCGAGGAGTTCGCTGTGATAAGTGGTCTGAAATGTAATGGCTTGTGTAAAAAGTTTTCTTTTCCTCCCGTTCCTGATGGTCTTTTTGACAGATATTTCGCCAATGTTGGTTTGAACCGTCACCCTATTAAATGGCTATTTTTTAACAGAGCTTGGTTAAACGACCATGATGGAGTGAAAACGTTGGGATCCAGAAGGTGCTAAGCCCAACGATGTTCCAGGAAGTAGTCGTCATCAAGAAAACGTTGGGATCCACAAGGAAGTTGATGTTGGAGTTGTAAGTGTAATTATTTGATTTTATTTCTATGATCCCAACTAAGTCTACATTTAAAATCAGTAATACTTTTTTTTTATTTGGTTGATATGTTTCTCATTTTGTACAAGAGAATGGTGAACAAAATGTAGATTTCGATGATGATGGTTTCCCTGTTTTGACCCCGCGAATGATGGATGAGATTGATAGAACGACCGAGGAAAAATTAAAAAGCATGCTACTGCCAGCAAAAATGTAATATGACTTTACTCTTGTGCATATAACTTTTATATTTACAACTGTTCATGAAAATGTTCATTATGGTTTTTTGTTGGTTTATCTGTGGTTTATCTGTTGGTTTATCTGTGGTTTATTTGTGGTTTTTTGTTGGTTTATATGTATTTTTTTTGTTGGTTTATCTTCAGTTTATCTGTGGTTTTTTGTTGGTTTGTCTGTGGTTATACTTATATATATATGTGTGTGTGTGTGTGTGGTTTATCTGTGGTTTTTTGTTGGTTTATCTGTGGTTTATCTGTGTTTTTTTGTTGATTTATCTGTTGGTTTATTCGTGATTTCTCTGTGGTTTTTTTGTTGGTTTATATGTGTTTTTTTGTTAGTTTATCTGTGTTTTTTTGTTGGTTTATCTGTGGTTTATTTTTCCTTTTGATGTCCTAAATGTAAACCTCATGTTTTCCTCGAAGTATATAGCTTATTATTTTTTATGCATAGCTAGTGATCTGTTATGTTTCTTTAATGAAGGACACTCCCGGTGCAATTGAAGGTGTTGAGATTGGTATATGGGGTAACCAGAATGTGGGTGATCTTGTGTCGGTGGTCGATATTCCATTTGAGAAAATCAAACGTGTAAAAAAAGGACGAGTTATTTGTAAGTCATTCCCTTTTGACACCGATTTTTAGGACACGATGTGCTTTGATTTAACTTCGGATTTCTTTGAGTGGTTCAAGGTGCTTTGATTTATTCATTTTAGAAGTGCCTGTGTGAGCTATTAGTTATGTGCTTTTTGTTTGGTGAAATGAGTGACATGATGGGGTTGAAGAAAGACTATTAGGTGGGATTATTGATATTTTATTTTGTTTTTAAAATTAGTTTTTCTTAATTTATTTTATTAATGATAGTTAATTTGAGGTATACAAGTATTTTTTATATTTTAATAATATTATTTTTCTAAATAAATAAAGTAAAGCAAAATGTTAGACATAGTAAACTAGATGAGGAAAGTTTGAACACCTATGTCAGCTATAAGGAAAGGAGCAGACGTAAAATAGTTCACAATTTAATAAAAGGAAAGAAAAAACCTATATTGGAATATAAAAGTAAATTATTCCTCGTTGTGGGATTTGTTTAAATATCTCATCATTTGGGAATTTGTTTAAGAAGCAGAAAACATACATGTACTTTCACCAAATATCATAGTGAATTGCAGTTGTATTTTTGTTTCCATTTTATGCGATTTACATATTTTGATGAATAAGTTTAATGAATAATTCTATCATGTGATAAAAGTTTTTATCTCGTATTTAAGGTATTCATGTAACTTACTGTTGTATGTGTGTACTTTAGCCAAAAAATTATATATTACTAAAACCATCATTGTACACAACATTATTAGTTTGATTACTGGGCTACTTGTTCCTACAAATTATTATTTTCAATTAATTTTTATTAGTTACACGAAAAACAACAACGTATAATTGGCTGCGACTAAAAATAAGTTCCTTGAAGTACAAGTCAACATGCGATAAATGTTGACTATGACTCTTGTTTATGGTCATTGTTGTAAGTATTTTTACCGGAGTAGAATCGAAAGATTCAACACCGGGTCGTCTCGCAAGGAAGGTTAGCCGGATTCAATTGCACGATTATTCAATCACGAAAAAGAGAAGAAAAATTCCTAAACACTCTATTCGAATTGGTTTGATTTTGATTATCGACTAAGAAACTGAGCCAATGAAAAGCAATTAAAACAGCAGAGATATTCACGCAATGATTTAAGAGCTAGGGAATCGGGGATAATTGCTTCGGTTCTACCACAGCTACCGGCAATCAACTGCTCGGTTTAAGGACCTGAATTGCTTC